ACACACATCGGTCCATTGGTTGGGCGCATTTTGTGTGTGTTTCGTAATCAGTTTGGAAATAGATGGCACATTTAAGGTACCGCCACCTGATCTGTATGATATCGATCCTGTCCAGCAGTTTTTCAGTCAGTGAGTTCAGAATAGTTTAACATTTTACGTTTGTTTACGGCGTTGCTTGGGGAGCGATTGTTTAGGAATTACGTTAGTATTCACATGACGAAAAGGCAAATAGGACAGTTGAAATTTGAATGGTCGGAACTCAAGTAAAATTTGCAAATTCAATTTAATAAGGTCAAAGAATTGCGTCTGTGTTAGAGCCAGGAAAGAATAGATGAAAATCTAATGATCGGAGGATGCATTACAATCAGGCGCTAGGCATAGTAATGAGATCGAAAAAAACCTTGTTGAGCAATTTCTAAAGAAATCAGATTTTATTTTTTGGTTCAATACCTTTTATATCCATTTAAAACACGTTTGGGTGTGGAGGTTTACTGAAATATGCTGATCAAAAACAGAAAAATGTGAAATTGTAGTTTCCAAGGACTGTCAATGTCAAGCTACAGAAGACACCAAACTTTGGCGGCTATTTTCTTTCTAGTTTTACTTTTGAAATAAAGCGACCGCCACTTCTTCTCATGGCAAATACATCTACTTCTTCTAAAACTATGAATGTTTTTTTTAAAGATTAAAAGCAAGACAAATAAACAAGCTTTACAATTATATCAGTAAATCTATATCCATTATATTTTGCAACTTGGAAACACATGTGTCACTTTGCCCATAAAACTGCGGCAGCTACAGAGTTAAACGTTGGCAAGTACATGCAAAAAGATAGATCGTTCTCCATGACGGAGTTCGATTTTTGATTTATTCATTTCCTGAATTCAGAAAAATATATTTGACTAAAAGTTCCCGTGAGGGGCGGCTCGTGGGGCTAAAAAGTGGGCGTGCACAATTAAGCAACAGCAGGTTGAAGAGAGTTAAGGGCATAGTAAATAGGATGGTAGGATCGTTAGGTTGGTGAAGGAGGACCTTATGCTTTAATTTTCATTCTTTTTACTTGTCCCTTAGATTTCTAAAACTAAATATGTTTGTTAGCTAAACATCAATTTCCTTATCCCGCATTGGCACTAAGCACTCAAGTACATGTAGTAACTTTCACCACCCCATCACCCCACTTCAAAACCATTCGAAGGCACAACTCATAGGACGGTGACTTAAGTATGTCACGTTCACCTCCCTCAGGTTCACGGTCACAGAGTCGCTTCAAATAGTGGCAGGCCAAAGAACCAATCACAATTCACTTGAGCACTCCGCTGGATTGCTCCGGGGATCACATAATTTTGGCGTAGAATAGTGTACAGACTATCACGTTTTTTTAAGACTGCCTTCTGTTGGGTATGGGTCGTGGGTGCACATTTGAGATGTGCCGTCTTATTAATATTAATGTACCGCCGAACTCGCTACGAGTGTCGTCATCGCTTGGGTTATTCCAAAGAGCGATTTATATGTCAGATTGCCACTGTTGAATATCCTATTACGTTTAGTTAAAGCGCGTGGACTTTGGCATGGCATAGTAGATGTTTTACGGCGCTTTTGACACAAAAATGACAGTTAGTGAGCTACAGAGCCAGCGAGGACCTTGTTTTGATACTATATTATTTGAATAGTGTTTGTTTCTGACTTCTTTTAGTTCATGTTTGTGGATGCTTTTCGTAATAGAACATTTAAAAAAATGTGGGCGGCACTGCACGACTGTGCTGTATGGACGAACCGCGCCTGGTTCCCGTCCTTCATTGGTCTTTGGGATTATTTCACTGAGAAACGAAACAAATCTGTGTAGTTGTCCTTCATAACGGAAGTGCCGGAAGTGATATTTCGAGAGGCAATACTTTGACATTGTTGACATCAACCATGATGCTCTAATAGAAAGGAAGTAAAATGTTATAGATCACACTTTCTTGGCACAAAATTAACACAATTAAATTGGGCAATATAATTTGTTTTGGCCTAAAAGCTAAAATTTATAGTTTCCTTTTAAATCTAAATACAATTTGTTAAAAATATTCCTTATTTTCAACTCATCTCAAAATTTTGAATGATTACTTTTTTTTCTTTTCAAATCGTTCATTTTCATATTGCCAAAAAATGCATGCCATGGGAATGGTGACAGAAGAAGACAAAGGGGCAGTGGGGGGTTGGGGGGGGGGGTGGGGGTCAATTTTGTTAAAATTTTAGCTGACGTTACTTGTGAACTGTCCCTTATCGGAGACTCAATACAGTATTCTCTCTGAAAGAAAAATATTTCGTAACTGTCTTTCCCTAGCAATCTTTAATTAAAAAAAAACACAAAAAAACTTGCTTTTTTTTTCTTCCTTTTCCACCCTCCTTTGTGTATTTATCAATAAACACGATTAACACTCCTTGAGACTGACAGTTTTCGTGTCGATAATACGATTATGTCCCTTTTATACCATTCTATGATTGAAAGCGTGTTACTATTTTGTATTTTTGCTGCTGGGCTGGGAATTGTAAGGTAAAAGATAAAGACAAAATAATTTGACAGAACCATTAAGAAAGCCAGCAAGATCTCAGGATATGATTTTACTAGAATTATTGATGAAATGTATAAGAACACAAGCATAAGAAAGATAAAAAGCATTATAAACGACCCATTACACACCCATTCCATGCAAATTGTAAGATCACGCAGCGGCAGATCTGTAAGCCTAGGTATATCTCTTAAAACAAACAAAGAAAGAAGGTTTTTTTTAACCATCTAGCATAAAGCTATAATTGTCAGAATAAGCATCAATGTTATTGCTCTTTCGAATAAGTATCTATATAACTCTAAAGGTCTTGTAATTAAATTCCTGCATGTGGTTAAATAATGCATCTGATGTGATACGTATATTTTGCTTTTCTTTTCATATTCAATTTTAATGAGAGCAATATATAATTTAAATTTTTATGTATACCTGCATGTGCTTTTACGGTCCTGTACAGCCAAAGAAAATTTCCTTCTGGGATAATAAAGTATTATATTATCTTATAATATTATAGCTTAGCACGCAGAATTCCTGTTGTTTTAATTTGGTTAAAATAAAAGTGCACCAGAGCGTTGGAAACATTTGAGTCTCAACGAAGTGGAATCAGGTGCTTGTCAGTTTTTGGATATGTTGACTTATTTGTATTATTTGGAGGCTTGTTCATTTGTCTTGCTTTTGATGAAAAAATATCCGTCTATCTAGAATAGAAGTAGAGATATATGCAAATGAAGGATGTGGTGTCGCCTGGTTTCAGAGGTAAAATTAGTGAGAAAATAGCCACCAAACTTTGGTAAGTTCCATAGCTTAATTAAGGGTCTTTTGAAACTGAAAATTTTCAGTGTTTTACTCAACATTTCTCAGTTAACTCCACACAAAATGTGTTGTTAAGTGGGCATAAAAAGTTCCGAGCTATAAAACTAAAATTTGATAAAAATTAACACACCCACGGACACATTTTTTCGATTTTTTTTTAGTTTGACGCTCGCTGATTTCACCCCGATGCCTCACAATTACGTTAAGTGGAGGTGTCATACCACGTTCGTAGAGTTGGCCAGTCGACTTGGCTGTCATCTACACCAATTAATTAATTTTTAAGCTAAATGTTGACACTTCCTCCTTGGTCTGGAAAATTAATGCTTTGTTGGCGAAAAGGCTGCTTGAAATAATGATGAGACCGTTGGCAAATCATGAAACTCTTTAGATAGTACGGGGTAGCAGAAAGACGACAGACATGGGTCAAAGCGTATAACAGCGGATGATCAGGTAACAGTATGAGGAGGGTGATTTACACGGGTGTATAACGTTTGAAACGTCATTTCTACGGATGTTATGTGGAGGTGCCTGGGTCTCAGTAATCCTAAAAAGGGTATCTTTAGATTTAAGTGTTCAATTTACGCACATGCCTCGCAATATATTATGACAAAATAGCAATTCATTATGGAAACTTTACTTAGCAAATGAGTGTTTTATGTGATGTGATGTGGGCCAATGGCCTTAAACACTGAATAAACTTACATGCTTACTATGACAAAAGAGCTCTACATTAAAAAAAGTGAAAAACAAGTAAGTGTATTTAAAGTAACACCTGATCTCAAATTATATATTCAAATCGCTCACCACGTCTAAAAAAGCAGCAACCTTTATTACTGTTTTTACTGTGATAAGGAGTAGGCATTTTCCCCCTCCTTTTTCATGTCCACAGTGCCATTACTGTATGCCATGTTTCATTTGTATCATTTCCTGCCCCCCCCCCCTTCATTTCATCAGCTTCTGTGGTGCAGCGGTTGGTCGTAAAAGACGTGAATTCGATTCTCGTTGAACAAGCATTTTGATTGATTATCTCAATCTTTTTATAGGGACGTCGTATTATTTTAATCCCGCATAGTGGCCCTCATATGACCTTAAGCATTTGCAAGCGCCGTAAAACCTCTACTATAACAAAACAAAATCCCGCATAGGCAAGCACGACCAAAGCAGCCAGCTTTTTAAATGATCTAAATCGGGCTAATTTTTCCCTTTTTTTTTGGGGGGGGGGGGGGGGAAAAATCTACAATTACAATGCCCCCCCCCCTTTCCTTGTTCATACATTTAATGCCTCTATCGTTGCATCTTTGCGAGAAATAACTCCGAGGCGGGGAAGGGTGGGGGGTAAGGGTTTTTTCTGTAATAATGTTTTGGGTTTTTTTGTTTTTTTTTTTCAAAACTAAAGTACCTCTGTCTGCCTGCTGATCCCTGGTTGCTCGTGGCAGGCAGGCTCGAAGCAGCCTGTCTCTTACTCTTAGTCTCTTATGATGTAAAATGTGTTGTTGAGTCTAAACAATCAGATGATGGCATCGTGAGCTTTGCATTGTCAAAAATCTCAGATTCTTTCTTTGTTCCACAGAGGAGAGTGGCTTTATCTTAAAGACAACTGCCTCCCTTTACAAAAATCATCACCACACCACAGCCGAAATGTCCCCCATGACTCCCCAAGAAGACTCTGAGGAGGACAAGAAAACCAAGAGGTTTGGGGACATCGTCGCCAAGTTCATCAGCTCGACAACCCTTCACGGGATACCTCATATTTCTGACACTTCCAAGTTTTATAACGTCTTCTTTTGGAAAAATGTCATTTGGTCGTTGTGTGTGGCGGCAGGCTGCGCTATGGCGGTACATGGTTTGGTTTCCATCATAACCGATTATTTACAGTACCCAGTTGAAACTAAAACCAGTTTTAAAAATGATTTTAACTTGGAGTTTCCAGCGGTGACAATCTGCAATTTGAACAATATGGTATTCGACGATGATCTCAAGAACGAAACGGTAAGGGTAATAATTAAAATTTATTGTTACAACAATTTGTAGTTCTTAATGATTTTAGTAATAATAAAAATGACAACGAAAAAATAATGATAATGATAATAATAATAATGATGATAATAATAATAATAATAATAATAATAATAATAATAATAATAATAATAATAATAATAATAATGATAATAATAATCATTATTGTGATGACGATGATGATGACGATGATGATATTGGTTGTTGTTAATAATAATATTATTATTACTATTTTAATGTTATTATTATTATTATTATTATTATTATTATTATTATTATTATTATTATTATTATTATTATTATTATTATTATTATTATTATTATTATCATTTTTATCATCATCATCATCATCATCATCATCATCATCATCATCATCATCATCATCATCATCATCATCATCATTATGATCATTTTCGAATTGTGATCTACATATAGCCTTCTCGGACAAGGGCGAACAATCTCGGAGGTTCCGTTTGCAAGTTGCGCACGTTAAAGATCCATTGGGGGTCTAAAATCGATAAAAAATCTTTTACAAACTGAAAATGTTTGGTGTGTCCCGCGCTCTCATATGCCCTTGTGCTGTTGCGAGCGCCATAAAACACTTACCAAAAAAAGAAAAAGAAACACACACATTTTAACGTCTTTCAGTATCGTGTGTGGCGCTGCGTAACTTCCTGGCAGCTTGTGGGCATAGAAGCGATGAGATAATGAATGGCTGCTATAGGAATGGCTCGTCACTCTTCATCCAGGTTTGAAAAAAAAATTATCCAAAAGTGCAAGGTCGATAATTTGACATTTAACACACTTATCTAAAATTTCCCAAATGTTCTCAACTGGAATGAGATCAGGTGAGTTTGGAGATCAGGGAGATGTCTGAACATTGTAGGGTCTTGCGTTATACTGATGAAAAACTGCAGCAAGTTGTCTTTGGAGGACTTGTACAACGTATGGCAAAAGGATGTTGTTTAGGTAGCTTTGAGCAGTTAAATTTCCCCGAATGCTCATAAGCTGACTTCTTCCTGTGTGGCTGATGTCTTCCGAAACCATCACACTTCATCCAACATGGGCAGATGCCTCCGAGGTGCAGTTTTGGGCAAATCGCTCATTTTGCCGTCTGTAGACTTTTTGCCATATTTCATGGCGACGAAGAAGAAATCGAAATTCGTCACTGAAAAAAACCCGGTTCTCCTCTGCATTCGCGTCCATTGACCAAACTGGACTACGCACTGACGTCTCTGTTGGCGGTTTTATTTGGTCGCTTCCCCCGAAATCTTGACCTACATCAAAATTGGGCATTGCCCTACCTATACATAGGAGCAGTTTAATTTCATTGGTATGTATATTTGTTTGGTTATAGAGAAAACTCTCCATGTAACACCATGTAAAGTGAACAAGGGGCAAAAACTTTACCTTCATTTTACCCAAAACAGCAATTTTCGGGACAGCCCCTTTGTGCGTAAAAGCGACCATTTGTCAGGGAAATCCGCAGAAGTGGTCGCAGTTCCAGAGATGACTTAGTAATGACGATTTTTGACAGTCTGATCCTCAAATCCTCAAATAGCGTAGGCTGTAGAGGGGGCTGACCTGAATCGATCCCGCAAATGAAGTCGCCGAATATAGTGATCTTGAGAAGGAGTTGTTAATTTGCCTTAGGTCTTCCAGTCCTTTGGCGGTCTGCTGTTAAATTTGTCTATTGAAATTGGCGCAAAAGTCAGCTGATTGTGGACTGAGACACATTTAAAGCAGCTGCAACAACTTCTAGTGACTGGCCTGCTACGAGGCAACCTATTGCTCGCTCTCTTTGCTGCGGTGAAAGAAATGAATTGAACGATGTTATTTGCTCGCCGTTTAGTCCTCTGTGGTATTTACGCCCATGTATTCTTTCACCTGATTTCGTGTTGACATTAGAAAGTCATGAATTGAAAATCGAATAATTATTTCCGGATTGGAAAAAAAAAATCACCAAAGTGAAAACAATCGTGCACGCCAACCGAGGAGAACTCACACAAAGTGCAAAGTTCTTGCCCACATAAAAATAGAAAATCACTAATGTAACACCATGTAAAACGTGTCGCTAATTTTTGTAAACGAATATGCGCTTCTTTTTTAACGGTATCATAGCTCAGTTTCAGTTTCATTCCGTTCTGGGGGAACAATGGCCCTCTCTTGGTGATCGTTATCCAAGTCTATGATATTGACTCAATTTGTTTTCCTCTTTCCCAGGCAGGGTTTTTCCCACAATTGGCCCCAGAATACTACCGACTGAGGTACCGTAGAATGTCCCCTGACGAACGCTGGGCACGGAGCCATAACCTAGATGAAATGATGGTTGGCTGTAAATTTGGCAATGTAACTAAACAAATTTTCCTAATGTTGTTGCTTCCTCCCCCCCCCCCACAAATATTAGTAAGAAGACACATATTACAAAAAACAAGAAAATGTACCCCCTTGTTATGGTGCCCTTGAAGTTTGATGAATTTTTTAAAAAGTAGAATAAATGCCCTTGAAGGAAAATAAAAGTAAAAATCTGTGAAAATATGCAACCTTGTCACTGCAAACCAGATGGCTGTTAAAGCCGGAAGGAAATTATAAAATGGTCTCCTTCGTATCTGTTTTTCTGTTGTTTCTATTCCTTGTTTGGATTTCTATGAAAGGTAAATGACATAATCAGCTTTTTCAGGGTTGTTTTCTTTTGTTTTTAGGTAGATGAATCACCTCTACCGCCACAACTTCAATCATTACCGCCAGGCATGTCAGGGCCAAAGCTGGATGAGAGGGATACAATGTCCCAGCAATAAGACCCAGTCACTCGATAAAATTTCCCTCCATAGGGGAATCATACTCAGGTCCTCTGGGTGTGACAGTGTGGCGCCTAGCGGCCACACCAGAGACGTCGGTCTGTTTTAAAGTGTTAAGAAAAAAAATATCCCGACAATAATAGTTTAGGCCTACTACTAGTACTACCTCATTATCTCAAAATTGTTTCACAGATCTATTACCTAAACTCCAGTAATATATGTTCAATACAAGCAGCATTCAACAAGTAAAAGGATGCATACAAAACAAAGCTCACAGTACACAGAACGAACTAAAAATTAAAGTCTTGATATCCAGAAGGACCCCATACCAGTAATAATAACGCTGATCATTAATCATCATTTTATAGTGCCCACAACCGTACAATAGGGCTTTACCATACCTTCATTTTTAAATAAAACGAATGCATAATAATATGAACCGGCATACACACGCTCGTTAGATTTACAAACACATAGGCACACACTCATATAACTATCCCCACTACTTTCTGACCCATCACTGTACCCTTTAACATCACATTGTGACAGAAGAATTTGATGAATCATCAACTCACATTTATTGCTGATTTCTTCATCGACACAGGAAATATGTTCGCCTCTCGATTTCCACCCATTTTACGCCGAAGGCCTGGGTAAATGTTTCACATTTAACTACAGAAACTACACTGCTTCTTCAGTAAAAAAAAAGTGAGTAAAATCAGGAAAGTATGTTTGTATCAGCTATTGAAAGGATTTCGATGTTGTCGGGTGCAAGCCAACGAAGCCCATGCAAGTTGATTTAGTTTTTCAGGGGGAGCTCAAGCTGCGTAAATAAAAATAGTTTGTCATCAGAGTGTGTACATATTGATATTACGTTTAAGGAGTATGAAGTATTTACTGAAGCAAGAGATTTGTACAAGGCGTCCATAGTCGAGTAGTTAGGCTACCGGACATGTAATCGTGAGATCGCGGGATCGGGGTTTCGAGGCTCAACTTGGTCCCATAATATTGTGTCCTTAGGAAAGTCACTCTACAAGAATTTCCCCTTTTAGCCAGGTCCTATCGGAGATGGACATTAAATTCTGAGTCCCTCTAGTCTATTGAATCTTTAGGCTTTTAATTTTAGGCCTCTTGAGTAACCTTACAGTGTTGCTAGGGGTGTTACACCAGAAAGATATTGCACATTTTAAGAGATTAGTTCATCATAGGAAAGGAAGAAGAAAAAGAAACCCGACAACAAAGGAGCTAAAGAGAAGAGAAAAAAAGAAGAAAATTTCGGACTTGGCTCCAACACCATTAATGCACTTGTTGTGCAGAGTTTGGAACTAAAGCTATGAAGGAACTGACTTTTGTTAGGATATATTTTGAAACCAATAGCAAAAATGCATAAACAAAATAAACAATAACAGCTAAAATAAAAAAAAAACAGGAGCCAGGTTATAAAAATAACATTTTAGTGCTTCAATGAGCGTTCACAGCACCAAAATTAAATCTAAAAAATTTTCATTCTTTTCCCGACCAAGGGGCGGATTTTTCTCTACTCTGTGTTTGAATAAAATGTACAATTGATCATTATCACCAAAGAAAGATAATGATCAATTGTACATTTTATTATCACCAAAGAAAGATAATGATCAATTGTACATTTTATTATCACCAAAGAAAGATAATGATCAATTGTACATTTTATTATCACCAAAGAAAGATAATGATCAATTGTACATTTTATTATCACCAAAGAAAGATAATGATCAATTGTACATTTCATTATCACCAAAGAAAGATAATGATCAATTGTACATTTTATTATCACCAAAGAAAGATAAGGGGGGGGGGGGGGGGCTCTCTTGGCCTAGAGGTTAAGGTGTTGGCCTCTCATTCAAAGGTCCCGGGTTCGAATCCGGGTAGCGACCGAAAAATGTTCTTCTCTAAAATTGTCTTCTTTCATCCCCTTTCCTGCTCTCTAGCAATATTCTGCCGTCTGCTTTCGTTTCCCCATTCTGCCCCCATCCCCTTACACACTTTGCCTCCTCCTCTGGGCTCCTGACTCTTTCTGCAGCCTTTCTACTGCTACTCCTTGGATCCTCCTTACTGCTGTCTTTCTGCCACACCCCTGATCTTCTGGTAAGAAAGATCTACACCTAGCCTTCTCGGACAAGGGCGAAAAATCTCGGAGGGCCCGTGTGCAAGTTGCGCACGTTAAAGATCCCTTGGTGGTCTAAAATCGATAAGAGTAGGCTTCGGCCGCCACCCGGGCAAAATTCAAAATTTCGTATCAACTGAAAATATTTGGTGTGTCCCGCGCGCTCATATGACCTTATGCGAGCGCCGTAAAACACTTACCAAAAGAAAAAAAGAAGAAATATAGAGAAAATTTAACTCAACATCAGAGAAATCGAGCCCTTGGTACGTTTCTGCTGTTGCCAGGACATTCTCAACATCAGTATTCTGTTGAAAATGCTACCACCACTACTCACAACAAACAACAAAAGCAAAACAACAACAAAAACCACAGCAACAACACCATCAATCTCTCTCATTTTTCAGGGTTTCGTCCGACACCGGTGAGGAGTACGGTCTACAGCTGCTTCTTGACGTCCAACAAGATCTGTACATGCCGTACACAGAAGCCACTGGGGTCAGGATCATTCTACACTCACCTGAGGTCGCCGTGTTTCGAGAAGACACTGGCTTCAAAGTCCCCACAGGATTTGAATGCACTGCACCGATAAAACGGGTGAGTTGATACAGCATTTAATTTATTCTTCCCCCAATGGTTCAATCACGTGCTTTTCAGTTGTATGCTGATGATTTGAGTTCAGTTTTTGTGTGAGGAGCTATTGAGTACCGGATTTCTGTCTTTCTGCTGAGACATTGTATCCCTCTCAACCTCGGTTGGCCCTGACAGACAGGATCGAAGAAGCCCGCCTCCTGAACGATGCCAATGGTTTATTTTTTCGGTTTTTTTTGGGGGGGGGGGGGTGCGAGACAAATTTTCAACTATTTTGCAATTTACCCGCCAAACTTTTGTCACTGGTCGACCAAAATCAGTGCTTCTGAATGATTTTCATGCCAGTC